TTTAAGGGCAAATAACAGAAACCGATACTTTTCCTTTTCATAATTATGCTTACAGATGCGAGTCTCTGTGGTATAATGGTTCATGTAGAATTCAAGCATTATACGTACTGGTATTGAGAAAAAGCTTGATACCTCCTCAATTTACTATCGGTGGGCTGGTATCGATGAATTTAAGAAGTTTCGTAGAGGTAACGTTCTTTCATTCATATATTGCACGTAGTATAATTAAAGAATTGCGAGTAAAATCTAGCATTAAATCATTTCGATAATGTCGATTTCATTCTCAGATTGTGAAAGTGTCCGTTTCCTACCTTACGGTATTGCAGTCCACGTAAACATTGAGACATTCGCAACTAAATTGAAACATAGTAATTTACGAAGTCTTCACAATGTGTTCAGTTATAGTGCACGACTCACATGTTATTAAAATTTAAGTGTTGTTGCGTATCCGCACTCCTCGCAAATATTACCGAAGTGGTACACGTACTATCACAGTCTCAGTGACGTGGTAAATAAATGTGGAGATATACTTGTTAAAAATCAACAATTTCTTCATTTGCAAAGAGGTTTCTGCAATGAGATGTTGCACTTTCGACGGTAAATTTGTATCTGTTTGCTCGCTAGAAAAACATCGCCCTCCAGGACTCGAAGGTGGTGAAAAAATTGTCGGGTGTAAGTGGTAATTTGCCAGTTATTGGCTAAAATATTCGGATAAAGGTCGAAGGAGTCAGCTGAAGAAGAAAACGGTAATTTTAAAGTTTTGGGGCCTGGCAAGTCGAGGAGAAATATTACCGGTAAACGCGGTAAAAGTGACCGCGATGCATGTGGTCGCCAAATGTCTGATAAACGTAAACGCTTACAATTTGTGAACGCGCATTAATGACTGTGCCGACCATAATACCTTTAACTGTCGACGCTGTAGAATATAATCCCCATAAAAACCTTTGAAAAAGTAACAAAACTAGGCCAAGCACCTAGACGACTTTTAGATCTGTACCTCTAAAACTTACGAATAAATTGTAGTTTTCGAAGAATATGCGTACGTAACAGAGTGTGCATTTTGATACCCGATCAAAGAATCAATGACAGTACCGCTGTACGTAAGCCATTGTAAATAAAAATCACTTAACGTTGTGGAACTAGAACTGACTGCTCGTTCGTGCCGCAACGCATGTAGAAATACATCTAGGAAACTAAATGTTGTTCACTTAAGAAATATGTTGGAAAAGTGTTCGCTGTAATGGAAATACGGTATAATCAAACACTTTCAGAAACGTTAGGAGAATAATTCCTGCTAAGAGCTTTCAAAGTTCTCGAGATTAATTTTTAACGAGTACTATACGGCTCCATGTGTCTCGCGACGATAATTGAGGACAATAAGGACTTTAGTCAGACGACAGATAATAGCTCACGTCTACGAAATTATTCAAGCAACCACTTTACGATACGAACGATAGCTATACGATCATTTGAAACAATCATTAAATTTTCTGCCTCGTTTCACATAACAGCTACTCGAGTCTTCGAGTTCGTTTTGTTTCCACCATGGACGCAAAGACAGTCGAAACGCAATACTTGAAGATCACCATAAAGTGTGCAAAATGGTGTGGAGTGTGGCCTTATCAAAGTAGCGGTACAAAATATTTTACACGATTTGTTATAATTGCATTTACTATTATATGTTTTGTTCTACAAGTAAGTACTCGTATCACATTGATTCAGGCCATTTACTCGGCTAGATTTAACGTAAAAAATTTTATATAGTGAATTAAACAAATTGTTTCGCGTAAGACTTTATTAGGATTTTTAATTCGTAATTCGTAAATAATAAGGACATTTTTTGATATTATTCAACACAAATATCTCTTTTGTACAATTCCAAATGCATTCTAAAAATAACCCACGTGAACTCGCTAATTATTTTCAACGTTTACTTTTGGAGCGTTGTTTTCGTAAAAAATGTAGAAATTGAAATTCTTTAAACTGAATATATATTGTTGATATGTAACTATATGCATGGTTAAAAAAAGTTGAATGCATGTTGAAACAAGACTTTCTAGTAATCAAAATTCGTTTGTATGATTGTAAACAGGATTTACCGTAATCATTTTTAATATAGATCGCGAAACTTGTCATTTCCGGAGGTTCGGAGGCTGTAGCTGACCAATGTCCATTTTTGTGTGTTACGATTGGAGTTTTGTTGAAAATGTTCCATCACATTGTTAACGAAGGACGGGTGAAGTGATATTCATTGCTATCAGCCATATCAACAATATCGGTATATATAACTAAAAAATTCATAGTTGAAGGTAATTCTGGCGGACATTTTCGATGATTGGAAGACAAGCGGATTGAAGGCCGAGTACGATATTATGAACATGTACGGAGAGAGAGCGGTGCTCATTACGACAATTTATTTAGGTAAGCTTGTTTATTGAAATGATAAAACGTAATTATATCCAACGGATGAGAGTTTTAACCCTTTGCACTCGAGAGGTGACTCTCAGTCGCCGCTAGGTTTCCTTTAGGTTTAATTTCTTTGGAATTCGAAGTTTCAATAAAATGATTATCGTCGAGGCAAAGGTGACCTGATTTTCAAATCTTAAATTAGAGCTTAGTGACAATAGATTCGTGACAATAGGATGCTAAGAAAGCATCTCGTGTTGCTGATAGATACCAGAAAAAAACGCCTCGAGTGCAAATGGTATAATATACTATAATTTTATTTTAATTTGCGTAAATAATGTAGGTACTACTAGAACTTCCAGCAAAAATCGTCTCGCGCGTCGAAGGGTTAATTTAACATCATTCCGTACATCTGTATCACATAGAAATTTTCTATTTGCAGTGAATGGTATAATTTCATCGATTACATTTATTCAAATACCTTTGGTACCGCTTGTATTGGACATCGTCGCACCGCTAAATGTGTCGCGAGGCATAGGATACATGTTTCCAGCATATTACTTCGTCGACGAACATAGATATTATTACTTGATAGTAGCGCATATGATTATTGCGGTGTCAGGAGTTCTTATATTTAACGTCGCCTTCGATTCGACCTACATGTATATCGTACAGCATGCTTGTGGATTGTTGGCAGTTTCTGGGTAAAATATTCATACGCATATCGTTCCACATCAAATCGATCCCTTTTGTACTCGATTTTCTACAAATTAATGTACGTTGCAGTCTATCTGAAAATAAGGAGGAATGAGTTCGTAAAAAATCGGTTATTATATTTCTTTCAATATGGCGTACATTATTGATAAATTAAAAAATAATTTTGAAAAAATCCCCTGTTTCTAATGATTATAATGAAGATTATGAGATGTATTCTTTCCGAGTATAGCCTTTATATTAAAAAAGTTTTTTTCCTGTATTTTTCTTTTTTCACTATGCTTCTATCGTCCTACAACCTTTTTATCTCTATACACTTAATTTTGTGTTAGTAGGACTGCTATATTTCTACCTTTAGTTATTGAATATAAAGAAATAGTTTCTTTTATTTCATATTTTTTTTAGGAATTATTCATTACAATACGTGAATAAAATATATATTACGTCCTTAATGTTAAATATGTGTGCTCGTGCTTATACTCACTTTCTTGTCGCTTTTCATTACCGTTATTGATGTACGCTCAATTATGTGAGTAACTGTATATGTTAATAAGAATAACATATTGCGATTAGAAAGAAAGAAAATCGACATTTGAATGTTTACTGTGTGCGGAAATGAAAATTTGTTGTGAATGCAATTTTCATGGAAAGCGATGATGGCTGTCAAAATTTAAGAGTCTGTATTTTTCGAACAATCGAAAGATGAAAAGGATAACTTAGATTCCATTCTTTTTCTACTTGGATAACAACATATTTGGATTTGAGTTATATTTCAAATGCCGAGATTTGGTGTGGAGCAACTCGTATACGGATTATTTATTTGCCATTAACATGGAATGTTTCGAGTAATGAAACGAATGTAAATGTTCGCAGCTTCCGTTTCCGGAATGCAATCCAGGCTACTGTCGTTCAAAAAGAGAAGGACGTGGACAA